AATATCTATTCGCCAATGAGGTTTGCAGGAATGACCAGGGTGGCAGCCGCACAACAGGGGTGGGAGGCCATGGGAGTGTGGGATTGATTGGCTGCAGGGAAGGTTGAAGATGCATCGTGGCCGTTGGATCACCATCCGACGGTCCAATTTTTTTGACGGGGTGCAAGGAAGGGAATTAAAGAATTCGACTAATAGGTGCTCCCTATAAATTATGGGATCTAGTGATCTAAACTATACATGTACGGGTTAGGACGGTTTTTTTCATTCTCAGGTACCTGATTTTTTTGTGTCAGTCACCTTCTTTCTTTTTTTCTTCCTTACTTCCTTCTGGCACGCCAAACCTTGTCGGAGAAGAAGAAACATCACCGAGGGAGCACCAAACCTATTATCTATCTTAGGTAGGGGAGCCATAGCCTCATTATCTATCATAGGGGGAAGCCACACCCCCATTATCTATCTTCAGGGGCGTGTAGGGGATCGCCGGAGGTTTTCATCAGTGGTGTCGGCCATAGAGGATGGCCGGGGCGGTGGGTGGAGTATGAGGGAATGGCGGCAAGGGGTGCGCAGTAGCGTTGCCGGCCGCGGCCCTCGGGTGGTGGAGGCCGGCAGTTGGTGTGGGGCAAGTTGGCGGCGGCGTAAGAAGGAAGCCGACAGTTAGTGTGGATTGCCGGAGGTTTTCATCAGTAGTGTCGGCCACATGTCCATTATATATATTCAGGGGGGTGTAGGGGATTGCCGGAGGTTTTCATCAGTAGTGCAGGCCTTAGAGGGATGGCCGGTGCGGTGGGCGGAGCTTAAGGGAAGGGCGGGGCGGCAAAGGGTGTGTGGTAGTGCCGCCGGCCGCGGGTGGTGGAGGCCGACAGTTAGTGTGGGGCAGGTTGGCGGCGGTGTAAGGAGGAAGAAGGAAGGGAGGAAGAAGATGAATAGTACACGATCTATTCTAGGCTGTTGGATGAAGATCTGGCGGTCCAGATAAGAAGTGACCCATGCAACCGTTTTTTTTTCAGGTACGTGACAAACAAAGCCTCCTGTCGTGTACCGCGTGTCATTTTGGTGCCTAGCCTAGACACATAGCATGATTTAGAAAAGCCATGGTACTACAAACGAACTGAAAATTCGCAAGACCTCTTTTGTACCTCGTCAATGGAGTACGCTAAAGACTGTGACCGATCGAAAGAGGGAGACCAATGCCGGTGGTTGGACGACGGCCGGGCCATGAACGCGCGACACCGTAGGTCCGTCGCAATCGATTACATCGGGCGAGTTGCCGGGGCCGGGGAGGTGAGGTTGGAAGCCTGTTGGAGTGCACTGTGCGTCCAGATCCCAGTGCAGGAAGCACCGCGTCATGCATGGCGACCAGCCAGCCTCGCCATTCTCTTTTCTGTTTACACTGGTCTACGGAGAGCCAAGACTTTGCAACAGGGCGAGGAGGAGCTGGCCATCTTTGACGAGGCTCGCCGTGACCTGTCCGGCCGGCCAGTTCGTCAGGGATTCACATGCCCACATTCACTGCGTTAACCCCACCCAATAAATGGATCCAACACCCGCGTCAGTGCGTCGATCCACCACCATGCCAGCGCCCGCGTCGATCTGATCTTAATTTCTACCGCGTGCAGCGCAGGGATTCCTCCCCTCTTCTAGATGGATCATGCGTGCGTGGACCGTGGCGTCGTTGTGTCGTACGCGAGCGGACGCCGGGGATGCAAGGACAGATGGAGAATTGAACGCGGGCTGGGCCACCGGAGTAACTCCGGCCGGCCGGCGTGCTCTCCTCCCGGCCGGCCGCGATCCGCACGGCAGCATGGTAGTTGATCAATGCGTCATTGTTACCGTGGTCCTGACCGCGACGAGTGGCCGCACCTAGTCAAACAGCTCAATGCTACTCCTACTTGCTGCTACACTGGACTGTAGCAGAGTTTGCACCACTGACAAATTACACCGTCACATGCATGAATGCATCTACTGGCGTGAACGGCCATGTCAGGGTGCATCTACATACGTACTGTCGCATTGTGTTTGTGACTCTTCGTCAGGAGAGTAGAGGAGCCCAAGGTTGTCGCCCCGAGCCAGATGGAGCGCACCACCATGATGAGTCAACATTAGAGCTACTACAACCAGGCACCTTAAACTGACCTCAAGCGTCCAGACGGACCGCCAAGTCACTGACCGGGCATCCCTCATATCTAGCCTCTCGAGGCTAAATCCGGCTATTTAAGCCGGTTGGCGTCCACCAACCCTAGCGCATCCACCTCCTCCCTTTTCGCGCGGCCAGCCCGAGCCCGTCCACATCCTCTCTCCCGCTCCGCCGCTTTTCCCACGCTCTCCGGCATCGCCATGGTCCGGCAGAAAATAACCACGTTCACTATGCTCACGCCGAAGCGCCAGTACCAGATCGAGCAGGAGATCCAGGCGAGGCGCACCGCGCGCATCGCCCGCTTCACTACCGGGGTGCCTCCAGACTCGCCGAAGGCGGAGGGGTAGGAGGGACAGGAGCAGCAACCGGAGGAGGACGAGGCGAAGCAGCCGAAGCAGGAGCGGGCGATGGCTCTGGGCTTCAACATGGAGGACGCGGAGGTGGAGTTCGCCGTCGCCCAAACGACCGAGATGGCAGAGCAGCAGGCCATCCTGGAGTCCATCCTGGATGTGGCCTATGTGGAGGTCAACTGACAGCTCACTCCGCAGGAACGGGCGGCGACCGACGAGGTCGAAGCGGAGATAAGCGCGGAGGAGCCGGAGGAACCGCAGGAGGCGGAGCTGCGCCTGCGCCAGTGGCGGAGCCACCTCCCGGCGACCCTGGGCATCTGCCCGGGCTCTGCCCAAATACCTCCATTAAATTACACTAAGAGACTGAGAATTAATCACCAGTCTTTGTGGGCAAATGCCTATGGAGCACACCCCTTTGTATTTTGCCCCGGCTCCATGGACGGGCTAGCTCCGCCACTGGCCTGCGCCCATGTACCCGGAGCCGAGCATGGAGATAGTGGACATCTCCGATGAATATTGTGGTAATTGATCTGCGTATTAAGTGAATTTTATTATTTGCATGCTTTTGTATGAATTTAATTTTTGTATTAGGCATTAGGATGTAGATAAGCAAATATGAGGACTGACCGGTCACTACCGTGGACGATCGTCCGCGGGCGTTCGAGGGCCCCAATTTGTCTGGTCCGGTTGCATACAGTGGCGGAGCATAGTGGAGAAAATTCCGGGCCCTGGCCCCCCTTCCAAAAGGAAAATTTATCAAATACACTTACTTATCTGCTAATTGCT